AGAGAAATTAATGAAGTCTTGTATCTGGAAGCAGACACCAGATGATGGTTATTGTAATGTCTGAAAACTTTCAGGATGACTACTTTCATCACCCACTTACTGATGGTGTTCTCTCATTTATTATTGCCTTTTAGAAACCCCTAGATTAAATTAGGGGTTTAACCATGTTGACACGCTCAGATACCTTTGTCTTCTGTTTCCTAAAGACATTTCTTGACCTGTCCTAACGTTAATTTATTACACAGAATTCTGGTAGCTTTGTGCTTCAGTTTGTGCATAGTTAATACTGTTTTGCATTAGGGAAGGTACCAGATGATGGTTATTGTAATGTCTGAAATCATTTAGGATGACTACTTTCATCACCCACTTGCTGATGGTTTTCGCTTCCTGAAAGTTATTAGCTGTTAGGAAGGTTTGTGAAGTAACAAGTCCTGGGGGAATAGTTCTCCCCCCTCCCCCTTCCTAGTTAGGAATTAGAGAAATATCTATGTATAAGCTTTTATTTTTGGAAACATCTTCATATGCACTAAAATCTCTTGTTCAATAGCTATATTTGCATCACATAAAGTCTCTTGTGTTTGCATCAAATAAAATCTTGTGTCAATCAGCTGTATTTGCATCACATATATTATGATAGGGCAGGAATAAGTATTTACGAAGGCATTTTAAGCACTGGTTTTTTTCACTACTTCTACACATATGCTCACAGACACAGTACTTTTTTCAGCTTGAACATTTGAAGCCTTGTATGGAAGCACACCAGATGATGGTTCTTTTAATGTCTGAAATGTTTCAGGATGACTACTTTCATCACCCACTTACTGATGGTGTCTTCATTCATGCAGTGTTTGACAGAACATTGTTAACCCAGTGACATTCTGTGGATAAAATAACTTTCGCTAGCTTTCTTTAGAGAACCTTTATCTGTCTTAGTGACTTTACAGTGGCCTTAGCTATAGAAAAACCATCTTGTCTGGATTTATGTTGTCTGGATTGTTGCTGTCCTAATGCGAGGCTATCTAAGCCGATAACTAAGGAACAAGCAGATCTGCAGAAAATTGAATTGCAATAGAAACAGATTCCTTGTGATGGAAAGGAAGTGTTAGGTGCTTGTAAACATGTTGATAGGATGTTTTGTTTTTTGTTTTAAGCAGTCTTAGCAGCAAACACCAGATGATGGTTATTGTAATGTCTGAAATCATTTAGGATGACTACTTTCATCACCCACTTGCTGATGGTTTTTGCTTCCTGAAAGTTGTTGGCTGTTGGGAAGAACATTTAAAATCCATAGTGACATCCATGAATTGACGATCCATTCTTAGAAACAGAATAAGCGTCTCAGTGTGAGCTGGTTTCTTGAGAAATGTGATTCATCAAAACACTTAAGAAACATGCACTACTTTTTTCAGTTTGGTAATTTGTTGAAGCCTTGTCTGGCAACCTGTCCAGGGACAGAAAAACACACACAACTAAAATGGTTATTGTAAAGTCTGAAATCATTAGGGATGACTATTTTCATCATCCACTTACTGATAGTGCCCTCTCACTGAAAGTTATAACATCCTGAAAGATGTGTGAAATTACATTGCCGTATTGACACCCTTAGAGAATGATGGTTCCTTGTTTGTAACTGGATAAAGGCAGAATATAAATCTTTGGGAACATCTGTATAAGCCTACTTTGCAAAACCTTTTGGATAATTGTTTGAGAAGGTATTTCTTCTGAGTTTGCTCCTAAAAGGGGCTGTTGCACATTGTGGATGGTTTATAGCTGGGTTTAAGCTCTAAATACATCAGATTTCAGCAAAGTCGTTATTACATTCTTGTACAAGATTTTTTTTAATGTAGAGCTATTTCTTTTAAAATAAATTTAATAAGCAGAGCATACAGTAAATTACATTAAGCACAGTATATCCTGTGTGAAATTAAAATTAGTGCCAGGATCACTTATACATTTTCTTGACTGTTGGGCTTAATTAACAGTGTACGAAGTAGCAATATATTTCAGCTTAGAGAAATTAATAAAGTCTTGTATCTGGAAGCAGACACCAGATGATGGTTATTGTAATGTCTGAAAACTTTCAGGATGACTACTTTCATCACCCACTTACTGATGGTGTTCTCTCATTTATTATTGCCTTTTAGAAACCCCTAGATTAAATTAGGGGTTTAACCATGTTGACACGCTCAGATACCTTTGTCTTCTGTTTCCTAAAGACATTTCTTGACCTGTCCTGACGTTAATTTATTACACAGAATTCTGGTAGCTTTGTGCTTCAGTTTGTGCATAGTTAATACTGTTTTGCATTAGGGAAGGTACCAGATGATGGTTATTGTAATGTCTGAAATCATTTAGGATGACTACTTTCATCACCCACTTGCTGATGGTTTTCGCTTCCTGAAAGTTATTAGCTGTTAGGAAGGTTTGTGAAGTAACAAGTCCTGGGGGAATAGTTCTCCCCCCTCCCCCTTCCTAGTTAGGAATTAGAGAAATATCTATGTATAAGCTTTTATTTTTGGAAACATCTTCATATGCACTAAAATCTCTTGTTCAATAGCTATATTTGCATCACATAAAGTCTCTTGTGTTTGCATCAAATAAAATCTTGTGTCAATCAGCTGTATTTGCATCACATATATTATGATAGGGCAGGAATAAGTATTTACGAAGGCATTTTAAGCACTGTTTTTTTTTCACTACTTCTACACATATGCTCACAGACACAGTACTTTTTTCAGCTTGAACATTTGAAGCCTTGTATGGAAGCACACCAGATGATGGTTCTTTTAATGTCTGAAATGTTTCAGGATGACTACTTTCATCACCCACTTACTGATGGTGTCTTCATTCATGCAGTGTTTGACAGAACATTGTTAACCCAGTGACATTCTGTGGATAAAATAACTTTCGCTAGCTTTCTTTAGAGAACCTTTATCTGTCTTAGTGACTTTACAGTGGCCTTAGCTATAGAAAAACCATCTTGTCTGGATTTATGTTGTCTGGATTGTTGCTGTCCTAATGCGAGGCTATCTAAGCCGATAACTAAGGAACAAGCAGATCTGCAGAAAATTGAATTGCAATAGAAACAGATTCCTTGTGATGGAAAGGAAGTGTTAGGTGCTTGTAAACATGTTGATAGGATGTTTTGTTTTTTGTTTTTAAGCAGTCTTAGCAGCAAACACCAGATGATGGTTATTGTAATGTCTGAAATCATTTAGGATGACTACTTTCATCACCCACTTGCTGATGGTTTTTGCTTCCTGAAAGTTGTTGGCTGTTGGGAAGAACATTTAAAATCCATAGTGACATCCATGAATTGACGATCCATTCTTAGAAACAGAATAAGCGTCTCAGTGTGAGCTGGTTTCTTGAGAAATGTGATTCATCAAAACACTTAAGAAACATGCACTACTTTTTTCAGTTTGGTAATTTGTTGAAGCCTTGTCTGGCAACCTGTCCAGGGACAGAAAAACACACAACTAAAATGGTTATTGTAAAGTCTGAAATCATTAGGGATGACTATTTTCATCATCCACTTACTGATAGTGCCCTCTCACTGAAAGTTATAACATCCTGAAAGATGTGTGAAATTACATTGCCGTATTGACACCCTTAGAGAATGATGGTTCCTTGTTTGTAACTGGATAAAGGCAGAATATAAATCTTTGGGAACATCTGTATAAGCCTACTTTGCAAAACCTTTTGGATAATTGTTTGAGAAGGTATTTCTTCTGAGTTTGCTCCTAAAAGGGGCTGTTGCACATTGTGGATGGTTTATAGCTGGGTTTAAGCTCTAAATACATCAGATTTCAGCAAAGTCGTGATTACATTCTTGTACAAGATTTTTTTTTAATGTAGAGCTATTTCTTTTAAAATAAATTTAATAAGCAGAGCATACAGTAAATTACATTAAGCACAGTATATCCTGTGTGAAATTAAAATTAGTGCCAGGATCACTTATACATTTTCTTGACTGTTGGGCTTAATTAACAGTGTACGAAGTAGCAATATATTTCAGCTTAGAGAAATTAATGAAGTCTTGTATCTGGAAGCAGACACCAGATGATGGTTATTGTAATGTCTGAAAACTTTCAGGATGACTACTTTCATCACCCACTTACTGATGGTGTTCTCTCATTTATTATTGCCTCATAGAAACACCTAGATTAAATTAGGGGTTTAACCATGTTGACACGCTCAGATACCTTTGTCTTCTGTCTCCTAAAGACATTTCTTGACCTGTCCTGACGTTAATTTATTACACAGAATTCTGGTAGCTTTGTGCTTCAGTTTGTGCATAGTTAATACTGTTTTGCATTAGGGAAGGTACCAGATGATGGTTATTGTAATGTCTGAAATCATTCAGGATGACTACCTTCATCACCCACTGACTGATATTCTGTTAAATTTTTTTGGCTGCTTGTCTCAGGTTATTAGGTGTAATGTATGAGTAGCTGATAGTAAGTTTGATACAGAGAGACACCAGTTGAAGTTTATTGTAATGTTTTAAATTAACTAGGATGGACTATTGTTATCACCTGTCACCTATTTCTGGCTGTATTCTCTTTTCTATGGTTGTTAAATAAATATGGATTGTTGCTGCCTAGTAAAACATTTTTTAAAAAGCTGATAGCTATAAAACACTTGATGTTAATTAATTTAGGATTCGGGTGAGTCCAGAATTACAAATATAGGTTAACCCAAGTAAGCAGATAGTAGTTATCGGTTACTGAAAGATAAAAGTAGCTGGTTGATTGTTTGAGTTGGGTAATTATGTTAAGGAACACCAGATGATGGTTCTTGTAATGTCTGAAATCATTCAGGATGACTACTTTCATCACCCACTTACTGATGGTGTTATCATATTTAAAATGGTTATTGTAGTGTCAGAAATCATTCAGGATGACCACCTTTACCACCCACTTACTGTTGGTGTTCTCATATTTGAAAGATTGTTTTTAGTAATTATAAATAAAATAAAAATCTTTGTTTATTTTTAGCGTGGGTATGGTCCATCACCTCCACCTCCGACAACATCAAGCCCGAATGCTGTTCCACCCAGTAAGGGGTCTGAAGATGATGATGAGGTGTGGCGGTTCAAGCGGAGAGTGAATGAAGGAGAAATCAACAATGCAGTTGAGAGGGCCAGACTGAGGCGTGAGGAAAGTGAAAAGAGGAAGGATTTGGAGCAGAAGGCGGCAGCAGCAGAAAAACTGCGACAGTTGGACGAGCGCACAAGGAAGAAAAGTGATGTAAGTTTTGTTTCAATTTTGCTGGGATCACTTGAAGTATAGTATTGTCAGGACTTGTAGTGGGCCTTAAAACCTGGAAAACTCTTAGGCAACAACTTGTATCTTGAAGGCACTGAATACGTGGGAAATAAAAGGGGGTGGGTGGGATGATATTCTTGAAATATAGAAATAGACAGCGACGGCAGAGTCGACTGGAAGCTGGGGAAATAACCTCAACTTGGATTTCCAAATGCATAATTGGCACAGCGCCTTTTTATAATGTTAGCTGCCATAGTGAAGCAGCTAAACTATCGCTTGCGTTGTTGGGTTCATGTCCTGGCAGAGCCTGACTAAAGAAACAAACTTACCTAATTACCTTCCCTACCATGATGGAACCAGCCTTAAATGGGAGTACCAGGTAAAAATCACCCACTGAATGCCAGCTGGTCTATACAGTTTAGATCTAGCCATGTATGCCTAATACGCCTGAATGTGGGAAAACGGCTCTTTACTTTTTTACTTTCTATTTACAATGTGTTCTCTCTCTTCCATCTCTCTCTGTTTTGATGCAATTTATGTAATACAGTGCACTCCCACACATGCACATCCATCCACATTCTTGTTTTCTGCTATTTTGCCATCAAGTTCACGTGTTGTCACCAAGTTTTCATATTTACATTTTACCTTACATATGATGTCCGTAAATCTTGACTGCCTATGTGTCATTTCGCTGATCAGTTTACAGTTTTCATTTTTCTTAGTGGACTCTCTTTTAGTCCACAATATTCTGTGAATGTTTCCTCAAGAAACCTCATCACTCCTGTTATTAGATGTTTCTCAGCATGCCTTCTTGTTGTCCATGCTTTGCATGGTACAGGCACTATATATTTTTTATTTTAAAATGTAATCACGTGAATGTTACATATACATACATTGACTGATCATGTAATGGTTGTTGGTGTAATGCATAGTGTTGTTGACAGAGACAACAATTATGTTTTGTGTGATTAGGTAAAGGAGAGTGATACAGAGGGCAGAGACAGCAGGGGTACAAGCGAGTCCAGTGACCGAGACATCAGGGAACCTCTACAGATAAACAAACCACCCAACAGCAGTACATACTCTGCTCAGGTAATGATCTCCTTGTTTTTCTGCCACATCTAAATTGTTAAGAAATATTTTAGACAGACACAGTAGCAGTTGTCAAATTAATCATCAAAATATGTGTTTCTTTATCTCTACTCTCGGAATGACTCGCAGCGTCAGGACAAGAAAAGGACTCTGAAATGGAACAGTCTTTTTGTTTGCTTCGTCTATAGTACTTTTCAGTGACCTTGATATTTCTGCAGTGCCTTTTCTGAGTGGTCGACCTCTGGCTGTGTTACCGCTACATCTGTATAGCATTGCTCTCTCTGGTGCCCCGTCTTTTGTCAATCTCACTACATGACCAAATCATTTGATCTGTTGTCTGCTGATTCAGTATTGGTTCTGTGCTGACTTGATATCGTTTCTAAAATGATCTTTCCTTGTTACACCTAGCATGATATGTAAACATTTTTCTGTCGTGACTTTTTCCTGTCTTCTGAAGACAATGTTCCTGTTTGGCACTTATAGCATAGCATCTGCAAGAATATTGTATTAAACTGTGTCCTTCTAGTGTTCATATTTATAATATGTATGTTATAAGCCGAATAGTCTCTTAAAATCCAAATTGTCCTAAACATTTTCTGTAAGCTTCAGTAGAAGGGGTCATGGTGTGAGTCACAATATACTGTTTTCACGCCCTGATAAATGCATTTCACCTAAATACTTCACCCCGTCTGTGTTTATTGAATATTGCCTTCATATATCTAAGTTTAGAAAGAAGTAATTAATGTTGATAAATGTATTTTTAACAGATTTTTTAGTGTCAAAATAAATGCAAAATGATCTCTGCTAAATCACCATTAGTTGATTTCACTAGCTAATACAAGGAAATTATTAAATGCATCTTCAGTCAAAATAACCTGTTTTTATTTGGGTCAACATAACCTGTTCTTATTTGGGTCAACATAACCTGTTCTTATTTGGGAAACATCTATGCCACCAATTTCCTAATATTCCACAGAATGACCAAGCCGATATTAGAGCCTATCCTCGGAATGTGCCTCCACGTTTTCAGAAACTGCAGGAACCAGCGCTGCAACAAGAGCAGCATCAGAAGCAGCCGCCCAGCCCTGGCAGTGGTGTACCCTCTGGCCATCCACCGGGACCTCCCATGTCACGTGGGTTCCGATCCGGCCAGGGTCCCCCTCCCCCTCACTACGGACAGTATGACCCAAGGATGTGGGCAGGGATGCCACCACACTTCCACATGGACCCTCGATATGGCCCACGACCACCTCTTGACATGCAAGGTATGTATGAAGGACGTTGTTCAGTGACCACATGCACATAAAGATAAGTTCATAGTGTGTTGTTGAGTAAAGTTTTTTCAGAAGTCTCATAGTGAGATATAATGTAAAGTTATTTCATGAATACTTAGTATGGTGTGTAGTAATTATTTCAGATGTCTGTCATATGTAGTTTTTTCTTTCTTTCTTGAGATGTCCATAGTATGATGTGTTGTAAAGTTATTTCATGTATCCTTAGTGTGATGTGTGGTAATTATTTCAGATGTCCTTAGTGTGTTGTACAGTTGTTTTCATGTATCCTTAGTTTTATGTGTTGTTATTATTTCAGATTTCCATTATGTGTTGCAGTTATTTCAGATGTCAGTACTGTGATGTAGTTATTTCAGATTTCTATACCATTATGTGGGTATACTGCGTCATTAAGTAGTAATTTCAGGTGTTTGTATTGGTTAACAACACCTGCAAGTGAGTTAAACTTAACATTTTGAAATCATGCATCGGCTCCTGTGAGAAAGTCTTAGCTACCTTGCACCAAGAAGAAGAAAAAACTCCCAACATCCTGCATGACCTGAACGCGGAAGAGAATTGACTCAAAAACAGCAGCCTGTCTGAAAAGATCGAGAGTATTTTGGCCACGTCCAGTGCCAAAGTGGTTTGAAGAGACCGGTGATGGCGGGTGCAGTTTCCTGATAAAGAAGCAGAGGCTCACCTCCAAAGGTGGCTACTGGACATTAAAGATGACTATGAAAATACACTGGGCTGGAGAAAGAGAGACTTTCAGACATGTCACGAAGAAAGGACGCTGTGTAAAGAATCAGCGATTGATTCAATATTGAAATATGTTGTTTTTTCCAGGTGCTATAGTGTCATGTGTAGTTATTAACCATTGCATTAATTTGTTTTATCCAGTGTATGGGCCTCCCGTACCAAGAAGGCACAATGAGGGCCATGGGTCGGGAAGTGAAGGACAAGACTCCGAATCTAGACATGCAGAGCCATATGACAGGCTTGACCCTCGTTCTGCATGGATGGAGAGGGGATATCCTCCGCACTCAGGTAGGAGCACAGTATTCCAATAGATATGGTTTTAAGGGGGTCAAACAAGTTTGCCACATGATATCTCTCTCTTTCTCTCTCTCTCTCTCTCTCTCTCTCTCTCTCTCTCTCTCTCTCTCTCTCTCTCTCTCTCTCTCTCTCTCTCTCTCTCTCTCTCTCTCTCTCTCTCTCTCTCTCGCGCGCGCACAACACACACCCCCCCCCCTCTCTCTCTCTCGTGCGCGCGCACACCCCCCCCCCTTTGATTAATCAATCCCCCCCCCAAAATCTAATCTATCAGTTGTATGGTTCCAGAAAGTTGTTAAAACTCAGTTTCAAAGTAGGTTTGCCCACAATGTGGCTACATTCAGCACCCTCACAATCAAGCAGGATCCATGACCTGGTCTGGGTGTAACTGTGCACTAACCACTGTGACATAAGGCTTGATTAATTAACATCAGTGCTCCTGAAGCTAAAAAAAACTTAATCAGTTGGTTTGTTCTTGGTAAAAGTTGATTTGCATTGCATGCAGGAGAATCGCCATGCATGAACTTTGCAGCAGCACTGGTGAGAATACAAAGGTGTATGTATCCACATTTCCAATTGATCTTTTAAAGAATTTTTTTAGCTAGATTTGCTGACAGTTTACAAATGGTCCTCTACTGTACTTGATATACCTTACACGTGTCATTATTATTGTTTTGTGGAAAGCTTTTCTGATGTTTTTGTTAACATTCACCCGATGTAAACTGGTGAAAAGTTCCCTTTGTTTATCCACTTGTAGACTGCGCTCTGATTCCAGAGCTTGAGTTTTGTTAACACATTCCTGTTTTATTGTTTTAACTTATTTGTGCATAGACTGTTGATTCCCGACCTCTCAGACTCACCCTAGTTTGGAAGGAAACACCTCCATAATTTTTTTCCATTTTAGGCATTTTTGTGGTATGTGTGTGCAAAATGGAACCTCAGAACCCACACAAGGAGTTATAATTTTGAAATGAAACCTATGCCTAACCGTTACAATTTCCAACTGCTACCAAATATTTAACGTGCACTCTGATTTTCCGAGTTTTTCATCTCTTTCTGCCCAAGAATCAGATGCAGTAGATCAGTATTTTTCATATTTTGTGAATTTGCCAACCCACACCATGACTCAATTCATGTTCTACACATGCCGGAGGTGGATGTGATATTCTGAAGCTGAGATACTAGACCATACGTTTTTGATAGCATAAGTGGGATGCAGAGTTCCTAAACCACACATGGTGGCACACCAAGATAACAGCTCATATTGATCAGGGCTATCTACACATCCATGGTCAGCCTCGGCAGAGGTTATCAACCTTGGGGGAAAAAAAAGGGGGGGGGGGGGGGGGGGGGGGGGGTGAGGGTTGGTTCCTGGTGTGTTTAGAAACTGTTTCCTTAGAAGTTGAAGTGCATCTTTCTGAGATGTATACAATTAAAACTTGATCTGTTAAACATGCACAAGCAACATTCAAGTTCTTCAGTGAGTCCAAAGTACAAAATTGGATAAGCAACCAGGACTTTCAAGAAGAATATAGCAGTAACGACCTTGAAGAATAATATGGCTGTCTTCTTTTTTATCAGGTCATTTTGAGGAAATGAGGAGAGTTCAGTACTATGAGAGATCCTATCAAGGCTTTGAGATGGAAAGAAGGTATGTTTTCAGTGCCTAAACAAATAATAATTTACTGGCGTTTGCTCTTAAGCACATTTTTTGATAACGCCATGTACTTGGGCTTTTCATATTTGTTCTACATAGGAAGTGTAGACTTTAAAAACAACCTGTATAATGTGTGGACACTAAAAAATTAGACTATAAAGAAGCAAACACCAGATGATGGTTATTGTAAAGTCTGAAATCATTCAGGATGACTACTTTCATCACCCACTTGCTGATGGTGTTCTCTCATTTAATTACATTTCAGTAATAGAAGTGCACAGAATAATGTCTAACAGCCTACTTTAGCAGATTTCTGTGGCATATGATTGTAGGTAAATATTTTCTGTGGTCAGATCTTATACACAGAATGTACTTTGGTTGAAGCCATCACTTCTTGCTCAAACAAATCAATGATTGCTATCGAAACTTTTTTCTGTTCATTCATTTTTCAAAGGGGGGGGGGGTTCTTGTGGTGAAGCTGTTTGCCTGGTGCTATGAAGGTCATTGATTTGTACCACAGACTGTTGTTCAATTCCTAAAGTTTCATAGATGTCCTCTCTGGATCTGGAGCTGCAGAGTTTGTGCTTTGTTCAACTCTTAGCTAGCTGTTGTGCAGAGAGAGAGAGAGATTGACTGAGCCATATTAGATAAAACCTGGTGCAATGAACTCGATGCCCTTAACTTTAGGTTCTATTTTCTGATGTGAGGGTGGGGTATCTTATCTTCTATTAGATAAGTCAAGAAGCCTACTTTCTGTGTGTGTTCCGGGGCCCGTTTTTGGAGAATTAAATAGACCCACTGACATGCATGTTGTACAAGGTGACTTTTAGGGAGTTTTTTCTTTGAAATGGGTGACATCTGCCTGAGATGCTAGGAACCAACACTCTGCAAACAAGTAAACCAGATCTGTAGAATGGATGTGGATGCACAACTCATGTTCTGGAATGAGACCAGTGTACAGTGTACAAGATGAACAGCCAGAACTTTCAGCTGGAATTTACAACCAGTGAACCCTAGGAGTAAGAGAAGCTGTCGCTTCTGACTCCTGGCTTGGTGTTTTGTTTTGTGAGAGATCATGCCTAACAGAGTGTGGTATAGGGGGTGCAGAACTCCTTGTATACCAGGCAAGAATCATGTGACATTGTACATAACAAGAATTTTGTTTTACGTGAAGTTAATATAGGGCCCTTTATATACTAAGGTGTAAAAAGCTAACAGCTCCTTTAGCAAACTGATTATACACACGTCGTTTTCTTCCTCCCATACGCTCCTTCTTGCCGGATCTAGGGCTAAATTCCTCGTTCACACATTCTTGCACGTGTTATTTAATCTGATCTGGTGTTTTCTGTCAAAATTAGGTCGTTATCTTCAGAATATCTCCTTTGTCCAGTACATGTGTTCCTGAAGCTATCACTTTTGTAGCCAGAAAATTTGCTCTTTCATTCCCTTGTACTTTACACATCCTGGACAGTATATCCGCGTTATTCTCTATAATATAATGTCTGTGTCACCACAGACAAGCAGAAATATAAAAGAAACATTAAATTCTGATGTTATTATAATGTGCTTATAAATGTGATCTGTCTTCTAGGGAATATGAGCACCGTGAACGAGATGAAGACTATAACCAGACTGACGGAGGTAAGGGACTTCAAAGACGTTGAGCAGAAACCCACTGCCCAGCAGAAAGATCCATTTGATGAGTACAGTAAAGGTGGCGATAAAGAGGACCATAAATCTGACCGCAGCAGCAGTAAAGACCCTGCTGATTGGGAACTGGAGTGAGTTTATGAGTCTGTCTGTCTGTCTGTCTGTCTGAATTTGACATCTTTGTCTGTCTACCAACCTTGTCATTTTCTGTCATCTGGTAATGACGCTCAATTGTATGCCACTTTCCTAAGACTTAGACAACTCCTGAACTCACACTGTAGAACATTACATGACGTTTTTACTTTTGCTTACAGTTTATTTTAATGCAGTGGTATATGTGTGTGCGTGTTTGCTTCCTAGCAACACTTTGTCCTGTCTCTTGTTTTGTTATCCAGTTAAACTAATTATACTGTGAATGCGGCTGATTAAACTCATTTTCTGTGTGTCATTTATACATAAAAGGACTCTAGAAGCATGTTTACAAGAAATAGCAGACTAGACAGATAGAGGCTGGGGTTTCAGCTTAACTACTGTCACCCAAATGTATCTCTTTATAAAAGCAGCAAAGGATTTAGATCTAAATCCCCTCTTTATTTTGTTTACCCATTTAATAACTTTGTTCCATTGATCCTATTTTCACAGCAGATCTTTCTCCAAAGAATCGAACAAAGACGACTCTATAGACCAATTTGACGAGGATGAACTCAACGTAAAGACCGACAAGGATGCGTTTGAGCAGGAAGAAATTGCATACACTCAAAGTTACAGACGTGATGGTCGCTCAGGGCCAACCCCAAAATTTAGAGCTTATACCTCTGAGGAACTTAAACAGAGAGAAGCTTCTCAAAGTGAGTGATTAGTTTTTTCTTTGCATATAAATAGGTTCTGAATTTCTGAAGTCCCCATGACCCATAAACCTACATGGGTGTGCAACTTTTCAGGGTTGAAATGAGAATTGCCGGGACATTCCTATAATCGCTTTGGCCCTATCTTCAGCAGCAAGTTCCAATTCCGATGGCACAGTCTGATTATATATCCACTGCACCTTTTCCCCGAGTGTTGAGCGTCGGTCAAGTCTGCTGATCCTTTTCTACAGCACTATTCTCAGAACATGTTGATCTGTTTGTGCCTTCACACTGTTCAGTTGCTCCCAAAGGACCCTTACAACATCCTAGCTTGTCATGCACCAGTTCACCACCAAGTGGTGCAGAAACAGTCCAGTGTTTCTGCCTGTTTGTTTTCCCAACACACCGGTATGACCTGGAGAAAATATGCTTGCCACTCTGCATGGAGCCTACCTGTCTTCACCTTTCCCAGCAAGCTTTGTGAATCAGTTACAATTATGACATGTGTGTACCCCTGGTTCCCAAGCCAGTGGAAGGCTGAGGTCTCAAAATCTTTCAAAAGAATATTCAATAATAAATGCGTGTGTTGGATTCTTCATGATAGCAATGTAGGTATGAATAAAAGTTGGCCTTGTTGACTGTTATATATGGGTACTGGTAAATATCTTGGGACATCACCTGCTCAGTACTGATTGGTAAAAATATGAAGCTGGCACAATGTGCCCATTACATTTTAGATTGGCCCTTGACATATTTTTTAAATAGGTCCTTAATGAATTTGTTTTGGGTGTGTGTTAATTGAGAAGGGTCTTTTACCTCTGTTGACCATGTCCTTTACTTCTGTTTTCTGAGTCCTTTACCTCTTTTTTTCCCGAGTCCTTTACTTCTATTGACCAGGTCCTTTACCCCTGTTGTATGGGTCCTTTACCTCTGTTGTGTGGGTCCTTTACCTCTGCTGTATGGGTCCTTTACCTCTGTTGTATGGGTCCTTTACCTCTGTTGTATGGGTCCTTTACCTGTTGACCGGGTCCTTTACCTGTTGACCGGGTCCTTCTGTTTTCTGAGTCCTTTACTTCTATTGGCCGGGTCCTTTACCTCTGCTGTATGGGTCCTTTACCTCTGCTGTATGGGTCCTTTACCTCTGTTGTATGGGTCTATAACCTCTGTTGTATGGGTCCTTTACCTCTGTTGACCGGGTCCTTTACCTCTGTTGACTGGGTCCTTTACCTGTTGACTGGGTCCTTCACCTCTGTTGGTCGGGCCCTTCACCTCTGTTGGTCGGGCCCTTCACCTCTGTTGCCCGGGCCCTTGACCCCTGTTGGCCGGGTCCTTGACCTCTGTTGGCCAGGGTCCTTGACCTCTTTTGGCCAGGTCCTTTACCTCTGTTGGTCCCGGCCCTTCTTCTCTCCTGACTGGTTCCTTTACCTGTTTCCTGGGTCCTTCATTTCTGTTTACTGAGTCCTTTACCTCTGTTTACCGAGTCTTTGTTTGTGTGAAGGCTTGGCATGCAAAATCTAGCTGTTATTTTGGGTTCTAGATGACCTTTTCCTGATAAACTTTTTGTTGTTGTAACAGAGGCAGATTTACTCGCAGCAAGCTGCCTGCCGCCAGTTCCACATGAGACTAAACAGTCGGTGCAGCCGAAAACTGTCCTAGCATCATTGAAAAGGAGCACCTCTAACATGTCCAGTAGTTCTACAGTATCTTCAGACAAAGAGAAGGAGAAGAGGAGTGAGTCTCCCAGTGAGAGCACCATTGACAGGTCTCAGGGTTTGAAGAAGGATGGCAGCAAGGTGAGTTAAAGTGATGTTTGCAGTCTGCTTGTCATTGGGTGACTTTGTAGTAGATCTCATTTATAAATGCAGCGTGGCAAATATTGCTTCTGCGGTCCTGGGTAGTGAGCGTCCTTTAAATACTTTTTTCAGATCATGCTGGTGATTTGGAAACAAACAGGCAGATAGAATGGCTGTTTCAGCAACACTTGGTGTAAATTGATGTATGACAAGCTTTTAGAGATAGTGAATAGTGCAGAGGCACAAATAGATCATTACGGTCTGAGGAGAATCGTGTTGCCAAGCTTTTGGAGATGGTGAATAGTGCAGAGGCACAAATAGATCATTATGGTCTGAGGAGAATCGTGTTGCGAGGAGTTATCCAGGGATCTGGCTGAAGCTCTCAAAACCCAAGGGATGGGCGAGATGAATATAAATTAAGACTGTTACTGGTGCCATCAGAATTAAAACTCTGTGCTTGCTGCTGGAGATGGGGGGACAGAGCACTTTTGAGTGTTTCCTGAGTGCTATGGTTTCGATTCTTAATCCAACATTCTCATTTGTGAAGATATTACCAGAGTGGAAGTACTGTTAGAAGCACCGTCCGTGCTGCATCATGCATAATTGCCTGCATTAAACACTGTTATGTCATATTGTGTGATAAATACTCACCAGTGAATAAATAGATCACATACTTATCTAACTGCGATGCATAGGTTCTGTCGCGGACAGTTGAGTTAATGGCCAGGTTGATCCAAAGTCTGCCCACAGAAGCTCAGAGAGCATTGGTTCAGTTTTCATTTGAAGGAATCGACCAGTGGACATTCGTTGAAGAATGCAGGCAGCCTACGGTAACAGAAGTGTCTCAGACAACAGTGATAGGCTGGGAAAGGGCATGAGTCTACAGCAGGGTCAGGTGTTTATTGTTGCAGCTTCAACACCTTCCACAGCAGGGTCAGGTGTTTATTGTTGCAGCTTCAACACCTTCCACAGCGGGGTCAGGTGTTTATTGTTGCAGCTTCAACACCTTCCACAGCGGGGTCAGGTGTTTATTGTTGCAGCTTCAACACCTTCCACAGCGGGGTCAGGTGTTTATTGTTGCAGCTTCAACACCTTCCACAGCAGGGTCAGGTGTTTATTGTTGCAACTTCAACACCTTCCACAGCAGGGTCAGGTGTTTATTGTTGCACCTTCAACACCTTCCACAGCGGGGTCAGGTGTTTATTGTTGCAGCTTCAACACCTTCCACAGCAGGGTCAGGTGTTTATTGTTGCAGCTTCAACACCTTCCACAGCGGGGTCGAGTGTGGATTGTTGCAACAGAAAAACCATCACAAAAATTGATGTAACAGTACAGTTTAACCCTGTTCGAAGCATAAAATAACCAGTGAAAGAATTTGATATGTCAGTTGGAGCAGTTCTAGAATATTTGTAAGAGTCTGCAGTACTGAAAGGTGTTGCGCTGTGAATAATAATAAAAAACCTTTTTAAAAAAAAAACCCATCCTAGTATGCTGTGATTTTTTTTTTTTTTAAACGATGCTCATCATTATTTTGCCAGGGTTGTGCAAAGAGGGTTACCATGTAAGAAGGGGAAAATTCTGCAATATCTAGCCTATATCCTCTATGTCACTAAGTTATTTCATTTAGTTGGAAATCTAAAAAAAAGGGGTGGCAATTTCACACAGATGCAGATGTAATGAACGCAATAATGTACTTGAAGATGTGTGGGGAGTGGCACGTCAGAGCTGTTGGCTAGATAATCTAGATGTGGCGAAGAGGATATACCTTCTATTGATTGGCATGTCGATAAATTTTGTACACACTCATGTATAGAAAATATCCTCTTTAAAAATCTGCGCCAGTGTTTGTTTGTTTTACATACAACAGCTAAGCTGTTAATTGTGTGTGTAAAAATATGCTAAAAGATGTTCATAGTTGGTTATAAACAAAAAATTTTAGTCTTCTCTGTGGCTCAGTTTTTCCTTAATTTGTGTTCCAAATGTTATGCTTCCTTTAGAGTCAGAATGCATTTGCCTGAGAGGCGGGGACCAACAGTCTGCATACATGTACCCTAGATCAGTAAAATTTAAGTTCTGAAAAGACTAAAATCCGGAAGTAAACGAACAGCCAAAACTTTCCTCAGAGTTTTACAGCTGGTGAATGCAAAAAGAAGAATATACAAGTGCTGGAACTCACTATGTAAAATTGATATAATTCTGATTGATCTGGCGCAATTAAAAAAATTTTTTTTAGGATGTACCCAAAGATGAGAAGTCAGCCCTGGATAAAGAGAATAAACCTCCAGAGCAGCCACGCCCCAATGCCTGGGAGATCAAAGAGCAGGACAGGTAAAATTGGTGAAAAAAGTGATTTTCATTGACCTGCTCTGCTTTATTCAGTCTGAATGTTTCACCTAATTGTATCTCTTGGTTGTGCTGAACAGACCCCCAGAGCATGTCTTGCAAGCTTGCAAAATTATCTTCTTCTGGAAGAGCTGCAAAACATGCTAATAGATCTCACAACTAAGCTGTCAGGAACCCTGAGAGACTTTGAGCTAGCATTCTATTTTATGACCTGTATGCAACTAAGTGTATGATCAGAGATTTTTGATGAAGTATTTTTTGTGGGAGTGTTCATTGTTTATAGCATGTCCATGAGCTATAAATAGCTTTGAAGAGCCGCAGCAGCTAAGCGATCACCTGCCGTCCTGAAGGTATTGGGTTCAGATCCGCCTCAAGTGTATCTCTTGCTCTCTCTCTCTCTCTCTCTCTCTCTTTTTTTTCTCTAAATAATATAGATCCTGTATCCCACCCACCCTGAAATAGGTACCAGGTAATGTCCAAGGGGGTAATAATGGTGGTTAGTGTGATTTTGATCATTGGGTGGGGGTTGATCTGTTAAAAAATGTGCCTCATATGCTCGCTGCACTACTGATTTTTTCAAGAAAGAGGTCTTTTTTTTTTACTTTACCTAGAACCCCTTTTGCATAGCCATGCTTTGTTTGCTTGAATGTTTTTCTTTATATGTATGAGAATGGAGGTTGAGGCAGTAGCGGCAGCTTTCTGATGGCTTGAGAGCAGCACAGCCAGACGTGTTCTAATTGTAACAGTCTCACTGGCATTCTTTGCATCCCGGCTTGCATTATCTGATAAGACTTGGATCAGGAGCATATCTTGGGTTTTCTATCCAGGACAATCAGATGCCGGGAGGTATCATATTGATAGATGAGCTGCTGCTGCCCCTCAAGGTGGTGAGCTATTTTATGATAAAGTGGACATGGTGAAGAAGACTGTAGGATCAGATGGACAGTGCAGTAGGACAGACAGAGAATCCATATCTTGGAAGACTGATTAAGTGTGGGGGATAATATTAAACACAGAAGGGGAAACGTAGGTGAACTTTCTATCAGATTGCATTTGTTATTATTTATTAGCATGTCAGCTCTTCATTGGCTACCAAAGACAAGGATGGAGCACTTGTAGGAATGTCCAAAGTGCAGTGATGTCAGTTTTTCATTTATTTATTCTGTTAATGTTAAAGGTGGGCTTTACTTCTGTTTCTACTGTCTGCAGGCAAAATGGCAGCAGGGAGAAAGAGGATGTCAAGGTGGTAGAGCATGCCAAAGACACACAAGAGGACCATCAGCAGGAAAATCTGTTTGAAGAGAGGGGTGAGGATGATGATGATCATCATCTAAACAGTGCTCCACATCAGAAGAAGCAAGACGAGGAACATATCAGGGACAGGCGGGATAGACATGAGGAACTTTCCCATCGAGACCGAGACCGGGATCGAGATTATGATCGATACAGTGCTAGAGGTGACCGAGTCCGCAGCATGCCTTCTAGAGGCGGTAGAGAATTTGTCCGAGGGAGGGGCACTTCACGAGGTCGAGGAAAAGCCACCCTCAGAGGAGGCTACAACACTCATCCCGACCGGGCTAGAGATTACTATTCTTCAGGCTATGAGAAAGGGGGTCAGGGTTCACACAGATCTGGTAGACAGCCACCATCATTTAAAAAATTTGATGATGAAAAGGGACAGAGAGAATTTGATGGAGGCATGCCATCTAGACGGAAGTATGGTCCGGCAGATGATTTGAGTGATGTCTCAGCAGATGATTCTCCTGGTGTTTTCATTGAAAGCGGTCGTGCAGATACAGCTCGGGACAAAGACAGCGGAGGGGAGAAGGCCCACAACGAGAAGGAGTTTATCGAGAGCCCCCATCAGGGACAAAATGATAAGAACCACAACAAAGAGGTGATTAGAGGCAGGGACGGAAACAAAGATTTCAAAGATCTTGAACATAAAAATGTTTGGCACCAAGAAAGTAAGCCGCCGCAGGAACCTAGTCCTGCTCCTCTATTTCAAAATGCATGGGTGAAAGGACAGCCCCTACTGCCAGATCCCCCCAAGAGTGAGAGGGTGATGAGCGAAACAAATGAAGCAACCCAGAAGGGGAACGATAGAGCGACAAATGTGTGGCAGCAGCGGATGGAGTCCAGGGGCCCCAATGCTGACCGTGGCTTCAGCGACAGTCGTGGGACGGACCGGCATCAGGATGGAAGTCACCGGGATGACAGGGATAGGGACAATCGTCGCAGGCAAGATAGAAATCGTCGCGGTGACAGAGATAGAGACTACTACCACGGTGATGACAATAGTCGCAATGAGCAAAGGGAGAGGAGAGATACAAATCGGGATCGAGACAGGCGAAGAGAGAAGGGTGGGAATGCTGACCAACATCCGGATGACCACAATGGCAGCTATCTTCCTAGAGGGGAGCCTTCCAGGAGAGGCAGAGGTATGAAAGTTGTCATTGCTACCTCTACAGTTTAATTTACACAATGTTTTCTGCATGTTTCAAGTTTGTGTGTATGTGAAAAAGACAAATCTTGTTACTTGTTATCCATATCAGCATCCTAGCACACTGGTCCGACTCGTAGGCGCTCCATTCTTTGATGCCACAGCCATCTCCACATTCACCGTACGCACTAAGAGCTGATTGGTATTATCTTAAAAACAAAACTATCAAGTGGTAAAATATGCACAGTTTAAGGTGCGCTCAAAGGCACAGATATCGCTGCCTGGCTGTGAATAACACAAATCTTCCTATTTATAATTAAACTTGGGGAAAACTGTTAGTAAAACAGATTACTGGTACTAATGCATTCAATTTCAAATTTGCTTGATGTTGCCTTGAAACTTTATTGCATCTCTGTTGTCACCACCTCCTTTCCCTAAGGTTAAAAACCACTGTTGTAAAAGGTTACTGATTGGGCATATGCTAAAACCACCCTTTAAAGATGAATAGAATTGTTACACATTTAGCTGCTTTTATTTTTTTTAAATTTGTTGTTATGTATCCAATTTCATGCCATGCATCACTACTTAATGAGTATCTGCCAACTGTGGTTCCTGTTTAACAAGATAATATACTTGTAATGTGACACATACAGTGTGGTGAGCTAGAATATCAGTTCAACCCATTTCTGCATCATCCTTTGCCCTGAGCCATCTCTGTGTCTCCATGTATACTGTACTCGGTAGGATTTGTTGTCACTGTGCGACCAGTGCCTGCAGCATTGCACTAGAATTATGCACCGAGCATGGATTAGTATTTGCACACATAAGCAACCTTGTGATGTCATATTAACCTTTGATCCCTGGATCAGCACTCGTTTGGTCTTCTCAGACAAGAGCAAAATCATGGGCATAAATGCAAATGTCAGTTCTGCCTGTATGGACCACTTTTTGTGGTTTAGGCAGGGATGGGTCTTTGAGCCTGAGGATTTAGGGCCACATGGCTAGTTCTGACAACGTGGGCAGGTTAGGATTTTTTTTTGGCCCTGACAGAAAACATCCAACACCTTTCTGAGGATTCGAACCTGGGTTTCCTGCATGAGAGCTCAGTTTTTTTAACTGTTATGCCAGGCCCTGCTCATAAATGCAAGCTACTGCTTGAAATACACATTGGCTCTTAGAAATCATAAATATAATAAATCCTCCACTAAATTTCAGAATTAGGAATGTTAATGTGACCTAAAATAGAGGGGATTGGTGCAGTAAGTAAAGATTATCATTAAAACTTTCGTTTTCTCAGGAGGATCCCGTGGTGGTCGTGGAGGTAACCGTTATTCTTCTGCCACCTCTAGCCATGGTAGTGGAGGAGGGCATGGCTATGGCAGCCAGGGAGCCAACGGTGAGCCAAAGTTCCCAGACGGTGCTGGATATCAAGGCGGCCATGTGCGAAACGCGGACAGGGGTCGAGATGGTAGAGATAGGAGATATCCAAGGTAATTGTTACATGTTATGTTAAACTGAGGTTACTTTCAGTGCTTTTCATGCTGTTGGCACATTTGGGATTTATGTCTGAGATATACAGAAAGTCCAATTTGGGTTCCAAAGACCAATTTTTAGGGACACAAGAAATAGACCCACTGCTTGCATAAAAGAAGATGCTTGCTGTAAAATACGGCTAGTTTAAGATTTGCTGAAGTCAGATATGTTGTGCTGCCATATATAACAGCCTAGTTATTATTGTCAGCTGCTTTTTTTAAGAGTGAAAACAAGCAAAGGTGAGACCTGTACAATTTGAAAAAAAAAAAAAGATAAAGTCGTTAATAATAAACTATGTGTGGTGTAGGTTTCTTTATCCACTTCCTGCGGCATGGAGTAACAGATGATTAAGGAATTTGCATCAGTCGACTTAGACCGCAAGATGCAGATATCGCATCCTACCTGTAAACTGCAGCACACTGCCAACCCCTGTTGAAGGGTAAATGCAAAAGAACTTAAACTTCCTTTTGCAAGGAAAGGTGGGTCTTTCACAAGATCCATATGCTACCACCATTCTAATGTGGTTTGAAATTTATATGTGCCGCTGCATTATGGTTGGAAATAGCAGTTCTGAGTAATGGCTTCAGGTCTAACAGTTAAGTTGTATAGGGTATTCCATAATTACACCTCACAGTTAAAGCTGTTAAACAGTCACATACCGCATCATGAGAGGTGTGTGGTTTGTAATGTGAATACAGCGTGAAGTAAAGTGACCGGGCGTTCTTATAGAAGATCCTATATATATAAATGTATATATATAAAGAGAGAGAGAAGTTGGGGGGGGGGGGGTATATGACCTTTGTCTTTCTGTTTCTTCTTTTGTAGACTTAGTGATACCGGATTGTAGTCCTATTTCATAGTTTTTTTTTTAAAGTTGCGTTTCAGGTAATTAGGATGGTGAATGTGTTTACCTTTTTACAGGTTCCAGCTAAACTATTTATTCATCTCTTTTTGGTCTTCCACTTGCCTTCTCACTAGATGGTCAAAACATTTCATTCTTTGTCAGTATAATTCAGTCTTATTTCATCTCTTCAATGCTGATATTCATAACCCTGTCCCTTCCTATGTTGATGATTACCTTGCTGAGAACGTCCTGTGTATTGTCACTGTTTAACATTGAAAGCATAAAGTAGGGATGAAGATGTTGTCATTGAGATGTCTGAGCAGTGGGGCTAACTGGTAGTAGTACCATTAACAGGAAGGTTTTCTGCCTATGCTCATTACCCCAGTTTTTGCAGTGTTTATTTTCATACTATACTTTTCATTGTTTAATGATAGCATCATCCTGGAATCTTAACTAATTAGTGAGTGGAAATCAGTTTTGTGTACTGTTCTGTTTCAGAAGAGATGGACCCAGACAGGAGGGCAGAAATCCCCCTGCTCCTCGCTTTCGAAAAGGAGATGGAACCTACGAAAATAGAGAACGGGGCAGTAGCGGGCGAGGTCAGTCATCTAGAGGTCCAGATGCTGGTGCTGCACCATCTGGTGCCGCAACCAAACGTCCTGTGCTAGCCAGACAGACGTCAAATGAAGGAGAAGAATGGGAGACGGCATCTGAAAGCAGTGAGCCAAAAAACGATTTGCGAGAGTCCCGGGAAAATACGATTGATAACCCCAGTGTGAAGAAAGATAACTCCAGCCAGCGGCTGTTCAGCGATCGACCAAACAATCATCGCATGAACAACCAGGACTCTCGCAGTGGTGTTGAGTGCCGCGGCTCCCAGAACAGAGATCATCCCCAGACTCAGAGAAATGGGGCAGTGCCACAGTCCAAACCAGCCAATGGTGTTGCTGTGTCCAAGACGGCTGCAGTCAGCCACAAGGAGAATGTAATCTACAGGGTGGATGGTGTGTTACCCACTGACCCCACGGCCATCAACAATGCTATCAACAGCATGCATACAAAGTAAGTGTCTGCATCAAAATTGTTGCTGTTGTTCCAGAGCTCTTTTCTTTACATTTCTTCTCTCCTGACAGCTACCACCATCACACACATACCCTTTCCCAAAGACCTAAAGTGTTGAACTGTGTTTATTTTAACTGTCTCCCTTTTATCTGACTTTAGAAGTAACCATTTCCTAATAGTTATTTGAGTTGGACAGTGTGTTGATGTGCTGCTATCTTGTTAGGATTTATGCAGAAACAGACAAAAAATTGCTCTCCTTTCCATTCTGCATGATACATTTTTTTTCCAACTTAGCCTTGGTGAGCAAAGTGAGGTCTTATGAGATTATGACGTCACTGTTTTTATAATGTGTATAAAGCTTCTAACCCCAACCCATAACACCACTAGAATATTGGAATTTCCCTGGAACTCTAGGATTTCCTTTGTTTGGGGTGAATTAAAAATAAAAGTACCCAGAAGTATTAAATGTTTATAAACTTTTTACTAGGGCTGTACCGAATAGTGATTTTCACTATTCGGCCAAATACGAATAGTTATAGTATATTTTTTTTTTAAACGCACACATTCATAATGTCAAAAGTATGCTGAACTTTTACTTCACATAAAGTAGCACAGAATAGTCATCTTCTTCTTTAGCATTCTGAGTCCTTGAGGTTCACTGCTGCAGATATCACTCGTCTCCATTCATCTCTCTGGCTGGCCTTATCTTCACAATTTGTGACAACAGTTGTTTGCAGGTCTGGCTGGACATTATTTTTGTCTGCCTCTTGGTCTACGCCCATTCCTCTCTCAGGTGTATACAGTTTTTACTTCCCCTGTCATCTGACATTCTTTCAATATGCCCCAATCATTTTAGTCTGTTAGTTCTCATGATGCCAGTGATTAATGGTGATTTAAACAAATTGTGTGTTACATTGTTGCTTCTCGCTCTCCATTCCCCGCTGTTAGCATCTTTGATGGGTCTAAAGATTTGTCGTAAGACTGTTTTCGAAAGCCTTTAATAAGGCCTTATATCTTTTATTTCTGCTTAAAGTTTCAGAGCCTAATAAAACTACTGGTCTTATCAATGTTTTATATATTTTGATCTTGGTGTTGCGAGACACACTTTGACTTTAGCAAATGTTGAAGGGTATACATAGTATACTTTATTTCTAGATTGTATTTCTTCTCTCAGCATGTTAGAGCAGTTGAAGTTTGCACCCAAGTACTTATATGTTTCCGTTCGTTTGATTTTCATATTATCGACTTGGATGGGGCCGGATTTTATACTCTTTCCATGTCTAGTTAGTATTCGTTCAGAATAGTAAACAATCAAAAACATTTTATGTTTTATATCCTTCAGTCAGTTTGTGGTAACAAACGACTTGATACATTGAACGATATCCACAGCTAGAGATATGTTAAGACTGTGACAACTGGAATGTGCTTCGTGTACAACTTGAGGCAAAACAATGCGACAAAATGTCGTATCACACTTGTGACGAGAGGTTCCTCATTCTTTAAAGGCTGGCCTCCATTGATACGTGCGGCGCTTCTTTGTAACGAGTGTACCAAAATGTTGCGTATGCTTGATGGATTGTGACAAGCGTAAAAATGACTAGGGGTGTCGCAATGTCAAATGGCATCAACACTTTTAACATGCACTGGCCCAAGAGTAACACAACATGATGAATCCTGAAGCTTCCAACGTAGCAGAACGATAACTCTCTTTAAAAGTTCCATTTGTGTATGACAAATGCAATGATCAATTTCAAGAATACATATGCAAGTAATAATCAACTCGTTCAACCAAAGCTCGCTCGACATCCATGTAATGATATGTCCTCACGATAGGTCGCAGGTCCGAACCTTGAGATCCAGACGATTTACTTTTTCTCCTCGGACAAGTCCGAATTAAGCAATGAAAGTATACCGGCTTACTGCCGAGAATGTAGTGCTCACCAGCTTCCTGCTGAGGTCTTGGAGTCCCGGGGTAAAACGTCCTCAAGGATCCAACTTTATATAACGTTTGCTTCCGTGGGATCCCGGGGTAAAGCGTCCTCAAGGATTCCCACGTCCGTCTCCTTCGGACTATAAACATCAACTGCTTTTGACAACAATAACTTAACAACGTTACGTATTGTTTTGACGTCTTATTTGCTCACTCCGTACTGGTGCGTTCTGGTGCACATTCGCACGCGACAGCTTTTCCCCCCTCCCCGAGGACGACCGAGCACTAGGACTTGTCGTAGTCTCGGTCGGAAAACTGGAGTCATGTCGCGGCAAACAGCACCAATACGAGAGAGCAAACAAGAACACTTGAGTACACAGATACTCATGTTCAATATATCACATATACGTTATTATATTAATGCAAAATATAGTAATGACTAAGCTCAACAGAACATATTAATAATATCATGTAAATTCAACACAACAAATATCAATCCTATCCAATGCATTTGGTGTGCGTGACACACACAAAAAATAAACTACGCCAATCTCTTTCCCTGGGCGATAAATAATGGTGAAGATAAACGTCTGCGAATACTTTGTCCATCTACGGATGCGTAAGGTCTTGATGGGTGCTGACATGATGGCCACATTGGATGCATCTGTGGAAACATAGAATGCAGAGACAAATCTGGCAAACACAAGAACGGATTACTATTAAATGCCTTTTGTAATCTCTGGAGCGCGTCCTAGCACTCTCTCGTCCAGATCACCTTCACTGGCATTCCTTTCATCGCCAATGAGGACAACACGCTGAAATGGTTATGATCATTGTGGAAAAGCAGAATGTCGTCGAAATAATAAAACATCATTACGATCCCTGCAACAACTTGCTGATGCCCGTCTGGCTGTTAGAGCTGTAGTGTTTTTGCATGACAATCTCTATTTCAAAAGTTTGTATCCCTGATTTACGACTCCTCGTTTGACGACAAAACCCACGTCAAATAAGGATCACACAGATACTATTGCCGAAACTTCTACATCGTGGATTACCCACCACGAGGGTCAAAAGTTCAGCCCACACCAACGTCTCCTCCAGCGACGAAAAATACCCACGTCGCGGGATAAAACGTGAAATTTCTAACACGTGGAGCGATGCATAACCCAGTATCACTCACCGTGTTACTCTAGTTATTTTCTCTCGGCAAACCTGTCAGCTTAAGAATGATTAGAGCACCATCTGTGACACATAATCACTCTCAACTTACGACAGTCGGTGTTTGTCCAAAAGTTTACTTTGTCCACAAGAACACTACGCTTACGTTATTAAGAGACAATAGGGATGAACTGATGATACCGGACGAATGTCCATCTAAAGCTCCTCCTATACATTATATTATGCTTCTAAGGCGGTGTCACCTGAAAGAAAACACCTCACCTCGACTAGGCGTGAGTCTACAACATTCGCTAACGGCCTGCGTTTCCTCTCCAAGGGTCACCGGTAGCCTTCTAAAACAAAACTCTGCCCTGTTTCTCTAGTGGTCCTACACTTCCCAACGTCGCCATCCAGGACAAATTCTTCTTCTTAGTTATGTGTCCTTCCTTTGGATCACTATAACCTATAAATGATAACTGATGTGCCTTGCCGTCTGGCAACCAGTCTCTCGACACCACAGGACAACGAATACTGCGTACTGTCACACACGTACAATGCGACGAGTCTGACAGACGATAATTAAAAAAATGACTCCACAAATACACCAATGGAACTAACAAATAGAGAAGGGACAATCGTCGAAAGAACACCAGGTAGCACTATTACAAACTAAACGTACAGGACGTGACGAGACCGGACTAAGACACTTTAGCCTAAATCAATCCACCGAGTCGCGAATAGATAAACTATCTGCCTGTTATAATGGGGACCACTCCGAGGGTTGAAGTTGGCTACAGACAGAGCCAAAGACGATATGACACTCTAGTGGTGAGCTAGTTGAAATATCGAATAAGGCTCTCACCGCCCAACCTCCCGCTTACTTGATAACACGTAACAATTAATGTCGCTCTCCACTTGCGCACGGGAAAACCAGGTCTGTTCTCTGGAGGAAAGAGTTAAAATTGTCAGCGCAACAGAAACCACAACAACCACAATTGACTTACCAATTGGGTGGCAGACAAACAACAGACTGCAATGTTAGCGATGAAAAATCGCCAAAATAACGACCAGTACAACGGCAAGTGGCAGATCAATGTACAGCCAAAAGGACGACTTGATCCGATTCAATCGAATGGAGAGTGGCACAGTCAGTAACGGTGACTTGATTATGATGATGATCCAGCGAAGAGTGATACGGAGATCCAACGAAGAGTGATCCGGTCCCGATGAAGATCCAACGAACGAAGAATGATACGGTCCCGATGAAGATCCAACGATGGCTAGAACAGACCGGCGGCGGCGGCGACTTGATACATTGAACGATATCCACAGCTAGAGATATGTTAAGACTGTGACAACTGGAATGTGCTTCGTGTACAACTTGAGGCAAAACAATGCGACAAAATGTCGTATCACACTTGTGACGAGAGGTTCCTCATTCTTTAAAGGCTGGCCTCCATTGATACGTGCGGCGCTTCTTTGTAACGAGTGTACCAAAATGTTGCGTATGCTTGATGGATTGTGACAAGCGTAAAAATGACTAGGGGTGTCGCAATGTCAAATGGCATCAACACTTAACATGCCACTGGCCAAGAGTAACACAACATGATGAATCCTGAAGCTTCCAACGTAGCAGAACGATAACTCTCTTTAAAAGTTCCATTTGTGTATTGACAAATGCAATGATCAATTTCAAGAATACATATGCAAGTAATAATCAACTCGTTCAACCAAAGCTCGCTCGTACATCCATGTAATGATATGTCCTCACGATAGGTCGCAGTCCGACCTTGAGATCCAGACGATTTACTTTCTCCTCGGACAAGTCCGAATTAAGCAATGAAAGTATACCGGCTTACTGCCGAGAATGTAGTGCTCACCAGCTTCCTGCTGAGGTCTTGTTGGAGTCCCGGGGTAAAGCGTCCTCAAGGATCCAACTTTATATAACGTTTGCTTCCCATTGTTACGTGCGGACCTTCATTGTGATGAGCGTACCAAGATGAAATAGGCCAAGTAGGGGTAAAACAGTAGTTACTTCAATGCTTTCAAAAGGTAGAGCTCGAACGCTATGCGTTAAGTTCCAACGGTTGTATTGATATATACAATCAGCAATACAAGGAGAAATACATATGCAAGTAATAATCAACTCGTTCAACCAAAGCTCGCTCGTACATCCATGTAATGATATGTCCTCACGATAGGTCGCAGTCCGACCTTGAGATCCAGACGATTTACTTTCTCCTCGGACAAGTCCGAATTAAGCAATGAAAGTATACCGGCTTACTGCCGAGAATGTAGTGCTCACCAGCTTCCTGCTGAGGTCTTGGAGTCCCGGGGTAAAACGTCCTCAAGGATCCAACTTTATATAACGTTTGCTTCCGTGGGATCCCGGGGTAAAGCGTCCTCAAGGATTCCCACGTCCGTCTCCTTCGGACTATAAACATCAACTGCTTTTGACAACAATAACTTAACAACGTTACGTATTGTTTTGACGTCTTATTTGCTCACTCCGTACTGGTGCGTTCTGGTGCACATTCGCACGCGACAGTAACTAATAACTAGGAATGAAATAATCCTAAGTATTATAACAAGTAACTAAACTTGGAATTGTCACCACCAGCTTAGTTAATGCAGGAAAGCTGCATAAGTTTTCAACAAAACCAATCGTTCCATGTTGTCGTATTAAGGCCGTGTATGCAGAAGCGGGTGTAAGGTAAGTACTATTCGTATTCGGCCCGACATTCGGCTGAATACCGAATAGTCAATATGCCCACTATTCGGCCCTGAAGCGAATATGAAGCGAACATTCGGTACAGCCCTACTTTTTACACATGTGAACACTACATAAACCTGTGAAGACATTTGTGCCTCTCAGCATCTAGAGCTGTGATGTAATGATAGCAACAGGGAAACTAACATTGCTGGCTTCGTGCTGGGGAGACTTGACAGTGCTTCCATTGCCCCGTTTCCAGCTGACATTTGTGGCAGTAACTTATTTTTTAGTTTTTTGAGAGACTGTATATTTTCCCTCCTGTCGTGTCAGGGTAATTATTGGTCTGCCATTCTGGTGGTTCACCCCCTTCATGTTACATAAGTAGCAGTAAGTTTTTTCTTCTTCTGTCAGGTCAGTTCGTTGTAAATTGAATGATTTAGATATAGATAATACAGCAGGTGTCATGTGACAAGTTGATGTGATCTACTTGTTTGACAGAAAACAGAATGCTAGAAAAAGTGACATCGATGTGGCCCACAAAATAGTGAAAACTGAACAAGAGAAAAAGGATGCCCTGGCGAACATTGACATCAACAACATCGCAGGTGGGTGGACTAGTTTTAAATTTTTTTTTTGTTTCATCGGATAATTGTTGGTTTGTTTTTGTTGTGGTGGAACTAGTTTTTTTTTTTTTTTACATATCTCCCCCTTGCTTTGATATTTCATGAACACTGTTAAAAACGTATTATCTTTGAAATATATAAATTTATATAAAAGGGGTAATCAGTTAACACAGAGTGAAGCATTGAATAGAATACAATCCAAGTGGGGTGTAACAAAATATAAATCAGGTGACACATTCCATGATCCCGTGACCTGTATCACCAAGGCTTACGGGAACATTTGTCATCAGTTTAGCTTTAAAATGGCCATTAAAATAATAGGAAAACCCTCGTGTTTGCAATTTTTAGTTTCTATATTCATATCTTGGCCTTTTAAACAGTGCACATTAGCACCAATGACATTTAGCTACATTATTCAAGGGCAGATCACTGCAGAAATAGCTAAATCAGCCCTTATGGGGCTGTGTAACAACCAGAAGAGATTAGATTTAGCCTTCTTGGCGACAGGGTTAATCAACTTGAATAAGGGATGTCATTTGTTCATCTATCTCCAGCAAATTTAATTGGAAATTTAAAAAGTTTAATATTATACAGCAACAGCAAAAAACTAACAAAGAAATTAGAAGGCTGAGTTTGAAATGAGTTACACTTTAAAGGTGCAAACACTAAACATCACTTGACGAAAGGAACACTTTTTCTGTATATATGGTGAGTTTAAATAGCACCTGGTTTTAACTGCCATATTTTAAAAAATAATCAAAATAATGCCTAGCAACATTTCTCTAGTTACAATAAAGTTGTGGATGTTTGCACTACAGGTGTTGTAGTAGTGGACAACATGCGTGAGGTGACCAATGATGATCCCAACTTTCTGTATGAAAACAATGATGGCTTTCAAGAGGTGACCTCCAAGAGGACCCTGAAAATCAAGCAGAGACAAATTGAAGCTGAGCAGAAGAAAACGGAGAAGGCACAAAAGAAGAGGGACCAGCAGAATAAGGTATCGTTGTCAAGAATTGTAGCCCTTGTGCTAGTTGTCACGTTGTTTCCTTTGTGTTCCCCTCCATGGTTGTCTGTCCAATGTAACTATTTTTTTATCAAAATGTGGGAAACTATTGTGCGTTCATTTATGCTAATATTATTAAGTCCTTTCTCTACGGCCTAGTCTAGACTATAAATTGAAATTAACACGCTATATCTTATGTGGGTTAGTTGGGCACATTTGCCACGCATTAAGTACTGCAAATGCCAGCACAACTTATTAAAAAAAAAAACACTTTAAAAGCCCTAGAGGTTTAACATTGCAGGCCCAAGGGGGTAGTAAAAAGAGACATAAAAATCAGTGCATCATGCATTCATTGGGACTCGGTGAGTTTTAAAAACACCGGTTAGTAAATTTAGCTATGAGCTCCTGCCTTTAAGGCGACAACCTGTGAAGACATTTGTGCCTCTCAGCATCTAGAGCTGTGATGTAATGATAGCAACAGGGAGACTAACATTGCTGACTTCGTGCTGGGGAGACTTGCCAGCGCTTCCATTGCCCCGTTATCAGCTGACATTTGTAACTGAATCTGCATGATCTTTTATCCTATTTCTTTTGTTAGCCTGTATATTTTCCCAGATGTCGTACTGTCAGGGTAATTATTGGTTGCCATTATGGTGGTTCCCCTCTCCGTGTTACATAAGTAGCAGTAAAAGTTGTATTTTGTGTGTCACTAGGTCTGTTCATTGTAAATTGAATCACTTAGATTATTCAGGGGAAGTGTCATGTGACACTAGGACCTGTTCGAAGGAAGTTTGTGGCCAGTGTGTATTGTCCATGGCATGGATCCACAAAATTATACACTGATATAATCAGCAGGATAGCCGTAAATGGCAAACCTGTTTTTAAAAGCTTTGTACCTTGGTAACATGGCTGCTCAACATCCACCGTGCAGTAAAACTGGTGGGTCATGCTGAAATTCTAACAAGTGTGGGATACATAGATGTGTTCTGTTGGCATGTCTGTTTTTTCCCTTCTCAGCATAATTCTTTCTGTTACTTTAAAAAAAAGTTTTTGTGTGTGTGCTCACTCATGTGTATTTATTGTGGGAAAATGTGCTGTTAATCGAGGTCACTTCTATTGAAATGTTTCTTTGACTTTCCTGTTTATAAAGCTGAGTAGATTTTATATAAGGTTAAGACCGCCTGTGAAGACATTTGTGCCTCATAGCATCTAGAGCTGTGATGTAATGATAGCAACAGGGAGACTAACATTGCTGGCTTCGTGCTGGGGAGACTTGACAGTGCTTCTGTTGCCCCGTTACCAGCTGACATTGATTATCTCTGTGACCCTTTTGAGTTACAAGTTGTGTTAGGGATACTATGTTGGTATGGCAGGTATTTAGTATACCATATCTGACCATCTATATTTATTTCTGTCTCTGCCTGTCTAGTTTTTTTTAAATTTTTAACCTGTGTCAAGAGGATAGGTGATGTTACACACACAGAAGCAGGTGCTTCATTTTAAATTCACCATAAACAAAGGAAATCTTGTAGTTTCTGGAAAAGTCTGCTATTCTAGGGGTGTTAGGGTTAGTGTCACTGAGGCAGTTGACGCTTACAGAGACTCCAACCCATTTTATCACTAGAATATTGGAACTTCCCTGGAACTCCTGGATTTCCTTTGTTTGGGATGAAGTACCCGGAAGCATTTATTGTTTATAAACATTTTACATAGTTTCTAAATGTGAACACTACTACAACCTGTGAAGACATTTGTGCCTCTCAGCATCTAGAGCTGTGATGTAATGATAGCAACAGGGTAGCAACATTCGTGCTGGGGAGACTTAACAGTGCTTCCATTGCCCCGTTACCAGCTGACACTAGACATTCCATCTTTTTGTTTAAGATGATTACAAGGTGCTAAAAATGTTCAGTTCGGTCAAGATGATATGTTAGTTGGTTCAGGCCCAGATTGTATATTGGGAGGGGGTGTACCATTTTTGAAAGATCAATTGTCAGTCAGTGGGTGGGCAACATCTTGCCGGCCACATCGACATACTGAAATATTTCCTGTTGCCCATGTCGACCTGGTAGCACAGATTCATTGTAAAGCTTCAGCTCAAGATTCAGTAGCACCCAAGAACCTCGGGCAGGCAGGAAAACTTCCGCCCTGCCATGTCTCCCCATACATACGTATGAACCTTCTAACTGTAACATTGGCAGGAAAACTTCTGCCCTGCCATGTCTCCCCATACATACGTATGAACCTTCTAACTGTAACACTGGCAGGAAATGGTTCTCATGGCAGCCGTAGAGTATTAGTTTACTTGTTATATTACCGTTTTTTCCCTCTCTGTTTTATGTTGTTTGTGTTTGTAGTTATGGTGAGCAGATGGCAACTGTCTTTTGCTGCTATACAGTTAACTACCAGTATTGTTCAGAAGAACTGCTAGAGTTTCATTCACCATTGCACTAGTTTTTAACCAGTATTGTTAAGAAGAACTGCTAGAGTTTCATTCACCATTGCACTAGTTTTTAACCAGTATGTTAAGAAGAACTGGTAGAGTTTCATTCACCATTGCACTAGTTTTTAACCAGTATGTTAAGAAGAACTGCTGGAGTTCCATTCCCCATTGCACTAGTTTTTAACCAGTATGTTAAGAAGAACTGCTGGAGTTCCATTCACCATTGCACTAGTTTTTAACCAGTATGTTAAGAAGAACTGCTGGAGTTCCATTCCCCATTGCACTAGTTTTTAACCAGTATTGTTCAGAGGAACTGCTAGAGTTTCATTCACCATTGCACTAGTTTTGCTTCTATTTACACTTGGTTCATGAGAAGGGGATATTCGCTCTTCTAAACTAAGGCCTTTGTCTTTTAGTTTGATTTTTTTTTTTGGGGGGGGGCACATATATCTGTTTTTCTCCTTTATTAAAATTTTTATGTGTTTAAAAATAATTGGTAAATTTGTATATTTTTTAAAAAAATAAAGAAGCATACAAAGTGATATTTTATCAGTGTTGCGTTCGGTGCCTCTGACGTGAATATTAACCTGTGAAGACATTTGTGCATCATAGTATCTAGAGCTGTGATGTAATGATAGCAACAGGGAGACTAACATTGCTGGCTTCGTGCTGGGGAGACTTGACAGTGCTTCCATTGCCCCGTTACCAGCTGACATTGTTTCTGTCGCTAGCCTGTAATTTTCAGGTTGTCACTATCATCATTATCATCATATAGTAGGTCCTTTGTAAACGTTTGTTCCCATGGGAAACCTCTAGGCCGAATTTCACTTTCCCTGCTTAATGTTTTCTCACGCCTAACATGTCTACAATAATTTGGGTAACCATTCTCTAGGGACCATACCTTAAATTCTTCTTTTTTTCTTTATGTTTACAGGCTGTAAACTCTGGCAGACGTCCACTTCTGGACTTGTTGAGTTATGAGTTTAGTGTGACCATCCATTTTTCAGATCTGGTTTATTTCTAAGCAGACTGCTGGTTCCTAATCTCTTATCAGGCAGATGCACTCTGAATTCGAAGGAAATACCTCTAGTTAGTCGACTTTTACAACATGCTTGTTAGGGAGAGAGTGGATAATTTCTTGTTTTCCCTCCAGCGCTGCCTCGGAAACCACACAGTGACCTTCCATCAGTGATCTTCTATGCCACAGTAATGTCTAATGTGTTTAAGTATTTAGGGTGAAACAGATTATTGAAGAGAAGGGAACCAGGCACCCTGAAAGCAATAAAATGTAGAACACTTATGATTCGAGGGTAAATTTGCAGTAGTGTTTAAAAAAAAAAAAAAAAAAGAGGAGTCAGTAAAGTAAATGAATATTGTGATTGAAAGAAAATAGAGTAAAGGACGCTGCCTTTGCTATATATTTGTATAGCCCAATTAACATGACATTAGGTGATACTCATTTTAGGCTCAATTAACCAGAAAAAACAAATCTGACTGATGGTCGAATCTGTGACATTTGGGGTGGCAGGGCGAGTGCCTAGCCACTACACTGCTGCGGTTACCCTCGTTAACATTAACATTTTGCATCATCTTATGAATCTGTTTCCACACATGGATGTAAAAATGAATTGTGTATCTCCACTTAGGCTGTTGCTCGCCCCAAAGGTGTGAGCCCTAAATCCAACCGCACCAATGTGAAAGGCAACAAACTGCCACCACGTCTGGCCAAACAGAAGGAGCAAAGAGAGAAAGAAAAGATGCTGACCATTGATGTGATGCCCAAGATTGAACTCTGGGATAATGAGCTGGCTAACAACATGCCCACCCAGCCTGTAAGTCTGGATGGCACCGGAGCTGACCCAGGTGCTACCATATCAAGCAGCTCAGTTTTGGAGGATAATGGAGGTAGGATACTGACCACCCACAAGTGACTGGCTTCAGTTAATGTCATTCAGTTTTAATGTTCTTATTAATACCATATTTTTTTTTAACAATTCACGTTGGTTTGTAAAGCTATTAGATTTCCTTTTCTTCTTCTGCCATCACCCTTGAAAGGGTGGTTGGCATGCTGTGTTGTGATTTTACAGCTAGACTTCAATATCTGTGCCTTTCAGCACATCACATCTGTTGACTCACCACACTATAATTTGGTGTGCTAGCTTTCTTCACCATAGTGTATGTTTATTACCAGCTGTGCGACTTTTAAAAAATTTTTTTTAGGTCCTTATGTCAAACTTTCAGTTCCTGATGTTCTGCCATCTAGATAGAAAGTTTGATCTCAGGGTGTTAAAACTACTTAGATAGCAGCCTGGAGTAGATAAATGACACTCACACATAGACAAGCATGCATCAGTTCTCCCTGTTGATTATAAAGTTTGCCAGATGTAATTATTTGTTGCAGTTTTCATGATTGAAGACACAATCAACGGTTGTAATCTTGATTTCATGTGATGTGCTTGTTTCCTTTTTGGTTGTATTGCACTTCAGTGTTCCTACGATTTAAAAAAAAAATGTACATTGTCACCAGCTGTAATTCTTTTTTCCCTCTTATGTCTTGCCAGTTCTCAACGGACCCCTGAATACAATGATGGTCAACAAGGCCAGCCTGGCCCAGGTCATGATGCCTCTGTCTATGACACCCGCCCCAGCACCAACCATGAATGCCTGGATGAAGCCAATCACTTTCACTTCCACAACTGTGCTGGTGAGCTCACAGCTGCAACAGATGCCTACTGCCACCTCCCAGGCTGCCCTGGCCCCCCAGCAGATAGCAGCATCTGTCTCGGATGTGAAACCGGACAAGGAGGACCAGCATGATAGTGGTGTTGATGTCAACGACCAGCAGAACTCTGCAGCTTCATCCACCCGCAGTTCTCCCGGGACCGACAACCGGCTGATCCTTTCTGGCGGCATCCCTCATTGCCCATCCATGGATCTTTCCACTGCCACAATGCTGAAGGTAACTGTCACTGCTTTCTTGTTCAATTGATTATTTATATCCTAATTTATTTATTTACTTATGCTGCCACTGTCTCTGCCATGTTAAATAAATGTATTAGAGCCTGTCACAAATTGCACATTGATTTTTTTGTACACACAAGTCCCTGTGTGGGTTCTAGGGGAACACAGGGTAGACCCACTGCCCCCTAACAAACAAGCATGAGGGAAGTTTCTTTCAGAGTGCGTTTGTCTTGAGAGGCGAGGAGCTAAGCAGTCTGTAAACAAGTAAAATGGGTGTGCACTCAAAACTCTCAGACAAGACTAAAGTCCATAAGTGGATGAACAACCAGATCTTTCCACTGGATCAAACTGGTGAACATTAAGAAAGATTACTTACAAAGGACTGTTGATCAGATATTGGTACATTAAGTATGCCTGCAGTATAGCTGAACATGTTGGAAACATCGATTAGTATACACTCTTGGAGACTTGCTGCGGAGGTGCCACTTTGTGAAGGCAGCACAGCTGATAACATGAGAATATGAAACTGATAACATGAGAATATGAAACTGATAACATGAGAATATGAAACTGATAACATGAGAATATGAAACTGATAACATGAGAATATGAAACTGATAACATGAGAATATGAAACTGATAACATGAGAATATGAAACTGATAACATGAGAATATGAAACTGATAACATGAGAATATGAAACTGATAACATGAGAATATGAAACTGATAACATGAGAATATGAAACTGATAACATGAGAATATGAAACTGATAACATGAGAATATGAAACTGATAACATGAGAATATGAAACTGATAACATGAGATATATGAAACTGATAACATGAGAATATGAAACTGATAACATGAGAATATGAAACTGATAACATGAGAATATATGAAACTGATAACATGAGAATATGAAACTGATAACATGAGAATATGAAACTGATAACATGAGAATATGAAACTGAAATGAGAATATGAAACTGATAACATGAGAATATGAAACTGATAACATGAGAATATGAAACTGATAACATGAGAATATGAAACTGATAACATGAGAATATGAAACTGATAACATGAGAATATGAAACTGAAACTGATAACATGAGAATATGAAACTGATAACATGAGAATATGAAACTGATAACATGATAATATGAAACTGATAACATGAGAATATGAAACTGATAACATGAGAATATGAAACTGATAACATGAGAATATGAATATAAACTGATAACATGAGAATATGAAACTGATAACATGAGAATATGAAATGATAACATGAGAATATGAAACTGAACATGAGAATATGAAACTGATAACATGAGAATATGAAACTGATAACATGAGAATATGAAACTGATAACATGAGAATATGAAACTGATAACATGAGAATATGAAACTGATAACATGAGAATATGAAACTGATAACATGAGAATATGAAACTGATAACATGAGAATATGAAACTGATAACATGAGAATATGAAACTGATAACATGAGAATATGAATAACTGAATAACTGATAACATGAGAATATGAAAACTGATAACATGAGAATATGAAAACTGATAACATGAGAATATGAAACTGATAACATGAGAATATGAAACTGATAACATGAGAATATGAAACTGATAACATGAGAATATGAAACTGATAACATGAGAATATGAAACTGATAACATGAGAATATGAAACTGATAACATGAGAATATGAAACTGATAACATGAGAATATGAAACTGATAACATGAGAATATGAAACTGATAACATGAGAATATGAAACTGATAACATGAGAATATGAAACTGATAACATGAGAATATGAAACTGATAACATGAGAATATGAAACTGATAACATGAGAATATGAAACTGATAACATGAGAATATGAAACTGATAACATGAGAATATGAAACTGATAACATGAGAATATGAAACTGATAACATGAGAATATGAAACTGATAACATGAGAATATGAAACTGATAACATGAGAATATGAAACTGATAACATGAGAATATGAAACTGATAACATGAGAATATGAAACTGAATGCAAAGAAGACAAAGAATAGTAGATAAGATAAGATAACGTTGCTCAAATAAAATACAGTGTAACATTCATTATGAGGAAGACAGTGTAGTGGTATTTGTGATCATTTTTCCAGAGAAACGATGGTATTTCTATGGATTCAACCCAAGCCATTGAAATGCCTAAGCAACAGCGACTGCCTAAAGTAAGTTGTTATTATAATGTGTAATCTATGACAAATTTGTCCCTGAGAGGGAAGACAAAAAAAACATGTGCAAGGCTTTGTCTTCTTCTTCTGCCTTCTGTCCCCCAAAGAGAGAGTATAGGCTTTTAACCAACTCATGCGAAGTCATTCTCTCTTTTACAGTTGCAAACTGTTCACTCCCATGTCCCTCCCCGTAATTTTAACTTCACTCTTCAGCTCCCTGCAGTTGTTGTTTCTTGGACTACTTTTCTTTCTGTGGCCCTGTGGGTTAGTACAAGACAGTGTTATGTTGTTCTCAGCACCATTGTCTTCTCTATAGCTTTTGGTCTGCTCGAACTTAACCCTTTTAGTACCTGCATGTAATTAAATTAACTCATTATATCCTGGGAAGTTCTTGTTCAGAGTAGCCCAAAGAAGTTGAAATAATAACATTGTGGGTCAGAAGGAGCTTAATTAGTGATTGATTTGTGAGTTAATGTCAAAAGTCAAGGATACTTCTTAGGAACAACTAGTGAACATCTGGTCAGTTTGGGGCTGAGAGAGTTAAGGGGCTAGTTTTGGTTTGATTATTATTTTCAGTTTTTGTTGACTTGACATAATGTCTATTATATTGATTAAACCTCAGTCTTAGTTGACTCTTCCTGCTGTGCAAGTTTTGCTTCCACTTTCGTTGTTTCATTTAATATTTCTTTTCTGTGTATTAATTAATACTTATTCTTTCATGGTAGTTTGTTAATTAATCTCTTTATTATTGACCCCCAGGGTTTTTATTTTATGCCATCACATCCTTTGTTAATCATGGATTAAATTTAACCAAGGAACACCTGGATACATATTTTGGCTGAAAGCATGAGCCTCTGGCTTGCAGAAATCAAGTTCATTGCATGCGACTGATAGAGGAAGTGGGAACTTATCAGTCAGTCAGCAGTAGCTGGTGACCTAACGAAACATGTTATATAGGACTTTGATAATGAAGATGATAATTAATTGGATCAACTGAGGCGCTTGATTTTCAGTTTTTATGATTTAACTGTTAATCTGTTAGATAGCAGCTGGCCAAATGGTTAAGAATAAGGGCTTTCATGCGGGACACCCAGGTTCGAATCCTTAGTAAAGTTGGAGATTGTTACTGATGGGGGCAAGAAAATAAAAATCCTATACTGCACAGTTTGTGGCTCAAGGACCTCCCTCCTCCTCCTGCCTAGATCGCAAAAATGGTAAATACAGGAAATTGGCAGTTTAAAATTTTTTTTTTTAAAATTGCAGTTTGTCTATTTGTGTAGATTTTCTGTAGGCTCTTAAAGATACTTCACTGTATTCTCAGGTCAGCAAAAGTGAGAACGTGCTTACGAAAGTGGATGCCAGTGCTGCGGCAGGGAAGACACTGGACCTGTCTCCAAGCAGAAAAATGCCAGACACCAAGCCTGAGCCAATACAGATGCCTCCTGGATATAAGGACTCCATCTTTGGCAAGGCATGTTCAAGTTTGTTTGTTATGTTTCATATTTCTTGTATACCGGAAAAAGCCTATTTAACTCTTTCCGCCCCAAGGGACATTTATAGGTTCCTACCTAGAAGGCCAGTAAACATAATGTGCCAATTATGTGTCTTTAATTTACCACTGGACATTTTCTTCTTCTTTGTTTATCTGAAGACGAAAATGCTTTGTGCCTAATACAGTGTTTATAGTCA